CTCTCAGGTTAACATCTTTAACTTCGAGCATGTATCGTAAAATAAATAAATTCGAATATCATCGACTGATGTTATTGAAGTGATATTTTTGAAGGTTTTAGAATTGGGAATATTGGTACGCTCTGTGATAATAGGAATATCAGTGGGTGCTTCTGAAAGTCCAAAGACTATAATAAAACCCTTGGTGGCTGCACTCACCTTTCATCAGTTATTTGAAGGCATGGGACTTGGTGGATGCATTTCTCAGGTAATAATGTAATTCGTGTTCGACTTTCGTGTCCGACACATATTCGAATTTGAACCCATACTCGTATTTAAACTCGTGCCCTACACATTAACGATATATACCAACATAAGGAAACTGTCGGCAAACACACAAAATTGTTGTGATAGTCTAATACCGACGGATTATTCCATCGGTATTGACAGCTACTTACCTACGGCTATATATTCGTCGGAAATCCCATTTTTCGAATATGTATTTTTTTTGGTAGCTTTTGCTTTAAGAACCATTCAACGTTATTTGCAGGCACAGTTGAAGGTACAATCTATGGCAATTATGGCAGTGTTTTTTTCTTTGACAACTCCGGTAGGAATCGCTATAGGAATAGGAATATCGAGTGCATACGATGAGAGTAGTCCCACTGCTCTCATCGTTGAAGTGATGCTCAACGCGGCATCGGCCGGGATCTTAATATATATGGCGCTGGTGGATCTTTCTGCTTCTGATTTTATGAACCCGAAGTTGCAAAACAATGGAATACTTCAAGCAAGTACCTGCTTAAAAAAACCACAATTTTGTTCCTTTCTTTTGAGGATAACATAGTTCATTTCCTTTGTTTAATTACATTTATGAACTCTAATTTTTTCTATATTCATATTCAAATAGAACAAAATATATTATATTGAAATTTTATCTGAAACTATTTAAAATAACATAAATTACTATAGTGGCGGTGAATTTAAAATTATAAAATAAAATCAACTATCAATAGTCGAGAAAATTTGAATTATGATGTTATGAATGGAGAAAATTAGGTTGACAGGTTATCTCTCATAATATGCCTCTACAATATTTGATCCAGATTAGTCCCAATAATTATCAATATGAGTGGTTAAAAAATGAAATAAATAATATTTTAAAAAATTCAATATTTATTATGATTAAGTACTATAATTGTGAGTTATTTCGAGGAGCTCAAACTTTAAAAAATAATGTGGTCCCTAAACATATTTTACATTAGATATGATACTTAATCTGGAAAAAAAATAATTTAATCTTTCTACTAATGAAAATTTATGTTTAAGGTTACAATACTGATGTGATATTCCGTAATAAGTATTTTCACGTTAATATACCAAATAAATTTATAATATACATTTAATGTTTATAAAATCCAATATAAAGTTTCTCAAATAATACTTGAGAAAACCCTAATCTAGTTATCCTTTCCAAAAATAATCCCCCAAAGGATGTCCACATTTAGTTGGAATTTAACCAATTTAAGCTTGGCCGTGACAAAGGGAGAGCTTTAAGTTCTCTTCTTAATGGTTGCTATGGCGACATTCATTTAGCACCTCTCCATCTTCTCAAAAACTCTGCTTCTTTCTTAATTGGGAAAATCCTTTTGAATTACATAAAAAAGATTTAAAAAAAAACTAATATCATGTTGAAGATGGCCTTATGATGCTTCCAGCATTCCCAATGACTTGAGTACACTCGAATCGATCCGGATTTCAGTTTCCAGCCATTATCGACTTTAAACGAACTCAGTTTTTCGCGTTTCTTTGTTGCTTCATCGTGTTATTTCCGTCCCTGGTTCGAGGAGGGTGAGCATGCGAAGCCAGAGACCGAAACCGAAATGACCCTCTGGCGCTCAAATACAAGGTGGTTGCTATAATTTGGATTTGTGTTGCTGGTGCCTTTGGTGTTAGCTTTCCTCTCCTTGGGAAAACGATCGACTCTTTACGCCCCGAACGGAACACTTTCTTCATCATCAAAGCCTTTGCTTCTGGCGTCATATTGTCTACCGGGTTCATCCACGTCTTTCCCGATGCCACCAGGTACTTGACATTTCCTTGCCTCGATGTTTATCCTTGGAGGAGGTTTCCATTTGCCGGATTGGTGACCATGGTGTGTGCCATTGGCACATTGATGAAGGATATGTTTGTCACTTCTCATTACACCAAGTCTCAATTAAATAATAACACCCAACAGGTTAGCCCAGATGAAGAGACAACAAGGGAAAATGAACATGCTCCGATTTCACCCGAAGTTATTCGATACCGAGTGTTATCACAGGTACTTTTTCTTATTTACAAACTACGATATCTTTTTATGTATATTTACCGATAAAATTAAACCGAAGTTACAGAGATAATCTAATTGTGAAGGTTTTGGAATTAGGAGTACTAGTGCACTCTGTTATAATAGGGATAACTTTGGGTGCTTCTCATGATCCAAATGAAATAAAATCATTGTTGGCCGCACTCTCGGCTCATCAGGTCTTTGAAGGCATGGGAGTTGGTGGATGCATTTCTCAGGTAATAATATTATCCAAATTCGAAACACTCGTTTTCTATACATATCTTTACTATTCAATATTATTTTCAGGCACAATTGGAGGCACGGACCGTGACGATCATGACCGTGTTTTTCAGTATTACGATCCCGGTAGGAATCCTTATCGGAATAGGGATATCGAACATATACAACGAGAACAACCCCAAAGCCCTTATCGTTCGAGGGATACTCACCGCAGTGTCGGCTGGGATCTTAATATATATGGCGCTGGTGAACCTTCTCGCTGTTGATTTCATGAACCCAAAGCTCCTAAACGATAGAGTACTTAAACCAAGTGCCAGTGTTTCTCTTTTTCTGGGCGCTTTTCTAACGTCTTTTGTGGCGATTTGGGCTTAAACCCTTTGTGCGAAGCATAGCTTTTCAGGATTAAAGTAGATTAGTTCTTTGTTTAGTGACAACGATGGGAAACTTGTGAGTATTGTTGGTAATTTTGCAATATTGTAATGGCAGATTGCTTTTGAATGGATTAGATACCTTTTATAGTTATGATGAATTCTTGTGACTAGCCTACGAAGACAACTAGTCGAATATACGTATTTTTTGAGCTATCTGAATTCGTAAATATGTATTAAAATTTAGGGTAAGGTATGGTCCTTGACTATAGAGCGTTGGTTTGTTGGATCTTTTTACTATTAAAAGTTACAAAATGATCCTCAGGCTATATGATGTTATTTTTTTTAGTTATCCGATTATTAAAAGTTATAAAATGGTCACTAGACTATTCATATATTCAAAACTTGTCTTTTTTGTTAAAAATTGACGGTCGTTTGGGATGGATGTTGACTTGTTAATTGAGATGTGATAAAATTTTATCCCATAATAGTTTTAACTATACTCTATGGATTGAATCTCCATTTACATTATGTCGTTGAGCAAGTACTTGAAACATTATAATGGCGAGCCAGTGCTTAAAAGTAATGGCGGTGCCAGTAGAGGTTATTAAAATATGATTTTATCACAATTTAGTCAATATGTTGAAGTCCAACTCAGACATACGCCAATTTTTTAACGGAAAATGACGATTTTGAAACATATGAATAGTCTATTGATCATTTTGTAACTTCTAATAGTCGGAGGACTCAACAACACAATGTTTTATAGTCGGAGGACATTTTGTAACTTTAATAGTCATGGACTCAATAAAACATATTTTATAGTCAGGGGATCATTTGTAATTTACCCTAAAATTTAAACATGTTATTTATCAATAGATTATACTAAAATGACGATTTTGAAACATATGAATAGTCTATTGATCATTTTGTAACTTCTAATAGTCGGAGGACTCAACAACACAATGTTTTATAGTCGGAGGACCATTTTGTAACTTTTAATAGTCATGAGACTCAATAAAACAATATTTTATAGTCAGGGGATCATTTGTATAATTTACCCTAAAATTTAAACATGTTATTTATCAATAGATTATACTAATATTATTATCCAGAGACAGAATTAGGATCTAATATTGAGAATGACAAATTACCTAAGTTCAATATAATAAGGACTTATTAGACATTTAATCTAAAAATATAGGAACAAAAATATAATTTTATTTAAGTTTAAACTAATAAAGACCTAAAAACTATTAGACCAAATAATTTTGAAAGGGTTAGAACCCCTTCCACTCTCGATGTACCTTCATCCCAACTATTATATGAATTAAGTATTATCATCTTTCCAATATTCAATATGTTGAATCATTAATATTTGATTTATTGTTCGACTAATTCAGATTTGATTTTATACAGGCTTACTATGAAAAAGACTCCCAATTTAATTTGTTTCATTTGCAAATGTTAAGATTCGAACATCTGATTTTACTTAAGGAATAAATCCGTTAAAAGATACATACTACGAGGATGTCTATACAATTTGACCTTTCTAGTTTATCTTCTTTGGGCTTCGATTTTTGTTAAGCCCACTTAATGCAGACGCAAACCCGCCGCTATCTAGAAAAACCCTAATAAAAGAAGCCAAGAGCTTAAATTTTCCTGTGCGCCGCTCTCCTACATTTCTCTCTCGGGTCAGCATCACAGCCAAAGGTTCTCCCTTTCGTTTCACCTGGTTTCCTTTTCCACAATTTTCATTTCATATTGCTATTATTATTTAGCAAATTGTTTTTTTTCCTTCATACTTAATCACAGGTAAGCCATGGTTAAGCATAACAACGTTATACCAAATGGCCATTTTAAGAAGCATTGGCAGAACTATGTGAAAACCTGGTTTAATCAGCCTGCAAGAAAGGCTAGAAGAAGAATCGGTGAGCTGAATGTACTCTGGGTTTTTTATTTTTATCCGTTTTTGTGAACTTAATAGAATGCGTTTTATGAATAGAAAAAATGATTTATAATTGTGGTTTTGGGATTTGCAGCGAGACAAAAGAAGGCCGTGAGGATCTTCCCAAGGCCAACTGATGGACCTTTACGTTGAAGAGCTTAAGGTGCGCACTTTTATTTTCTCTTGTTTTAGGGTTTTCTATTTATTCTAGTATAAATATCATTTACACCCTTGTCGACTACCAAGTTTATAGTTTTACAGCAAGAACAATGAATCTTGTTGGTACTTTTATTAGCTTTCAAATGGTGTTTGTAGCTGTTACGTTTGATAAGATGGATTTCTCATCTTGATATTGTTTGTGCCGTTGTAGGCTGCTGGTATTTCGAAGAAATTGGCGCCTACCGTTGGTATCGCAGTTGATCACCGTCGTAAGAATCGATCTCTTGAAGGTCTTCAAGCCAATGTTCAGAGGCTGAAGACTTACAAGGCCAAGCTCGTTGTCTTCCCGCGACGTGCTCGCAAGTTTAAGGTAAACTTTGTGTGGGTCTTTTTGCATTGTTGAATGATTTTATCTTTGGTGTTTTAAAGTGTTGTTTGTTCTTCTGTGTTTGTGTAGGCTGGTGATTCTACTGCCGAGGAGCTTGCCACTGCAACCCAAGTCCAAGGATCATACATGCCCATTTCTTGTGAGAAGCCTTCTGTTGAGCTGGTGAAGGTCACTGAGGGGATGAAGTCATTCAAGGCCTACAACAAGCTTCGTATTGAACGAATGAATGAGCGCCATATTGGTGCCAGATTGAAGAAGGCTGCCGAGGCTGAGAAAGAAGACAAGAAGTAAGGTTGTTTTTCAAGGGCTATCTTCTGCTATTTAATATGGCAAAAGAATTAGTTTTTTGTTTCCGTATTATCAGATGAGTTTAAAACAGTTTTAGAGAACTTTGGTATTACATTTGTAAGCTAGATTTTGAGAATTTCATTAATGACCTGAAATGTGAGACCTATTATCTATACCATTTTTCTTTCATTATTTTTTTCTCCCCTAAGCACACACACATTCATGATTGGTTTATTCGATTGAAATACCTGAATTAATAGTTTGCCATGCAAGTATTCATACGTATTTTGAACCACAAGGTTAGATTCATCTTCTTCCTTCTGCTTTTTTTGCAGCTCTGAAATCTAAATATTCATGTAAACGTTTCTAAGAGGCATACATTTACATATTCATACATTGCAGCTGGTTGACATTGAAATATTGTGCTTAAGTTATGATCAGGAGGTTACTATTGTCCTTGGATTTAGTCCTTAATATTATACTTCGTCACTCGTAATCTCATTACATGCATATGAACATTTGTAGCTCTGAAGTCTAAATATGCATGTGAACATTTTCTACAAGGCAGACATTTACATAGTCATATATTTGTAGCTGTTTTTGACATTGGAATATTATGTTAAAATTAGAAAGATCATGTGGTTACTCTTGTCCTTGGATTTGGTCCTTAATATTGTGCTTCATTACTTGTAATCTCATTTAAAGGTATTTTCTAGCATTTTGAAAAATGTAGTAAGGCTATTAGATTTTGCTATGTGGGGTCTGTGACAGTTTGTCTGCCTTTTGCATTTCCGCTATAAGTGCATTGGTTACTAAGTGAATAAATTAAGCTAATGGATCCCCTTTGAAGTTTGGAGATGGTGAAGCATATAATTTAGTCAATCTGATCATTCTGCTTCTCGGCATGGGACCTTTGCTCGCTTCTTATCCCAAGCCAGCCAACTCCGCCTCCATCAGTTGGAATGCTGCTGTTGTTGCCTATGTGGTCATACCTCCACCCCCTACACCTAATCCAAACCTGTCAGGTACACTGATTCCAATAATTGTGATGCCACCGTTACTGCCATCACCTCCTGGTAGACACGCTCAAGTTTTGAATGCGTAGCGGTGTTAGGTGGCCTAGTGCACATTGGTATAGACACTCGTTGCCTTGTGGTTGATGGGTTGTTGGGCTTTGTTTACCTTTGCACGCAATCAGGACCAGGTTTTTCGACGTCTTTATAGTAATGTCAATTGCAATGGAGGTCATATATGCCTGCGGCAAAAATCCACCTCTAGGATTCCAGTTCCCACCAAATTAGGACAATTTAGCTGCATTGGTCTCGATTGGTGATATTATTAGTTAATAGTAATCTGATGGCTAAAAAAATGGGTTTCCTCGAAGACGCGACTCAATGCAAGGATTTATGACTTTCAGCAGAGCCTCGGCTTAAAGCAAGAATTTAGCTTCATTAACTAAATTTCTATACGCCATGGAGTCAAACGAGCATGGAATGAATTTAGCCTTCGGTAGTAGAGTTGAAGGTAAGAATATCAGATTTCATTGCGCGTGGTAAATGGAGATTGAAGTAAAAGCAAGCTGAAATACTCCAGCATTCATCAAAATGTTATTCAATCGAAAAGCTGATATTATTGCGAACAACAGATGTATAGGAGGCAACAGAGATGATAACCAGCATGCAGTAAATACTATAAAGCTTAAATATGTAACAATGATGATCCATATCACCTTTAATGACCATGCCTAACCACATTCAATGCCATTTTTGGCATTAACTCAACCTTTGAACTCTTTGATAGAGACAGACAGGGATTTTGAGTCGACGGGAAGTGAGGAAAACGAGATCAGTTCGTTTGCAGCGGTTGTTACAAAGGATGATGTTAGAGAAGCACTCCAATGCAAGCATCTTGCAAGCATTACAACTTGATCAGCGCACTCCACAAGTCGATGCTAAGAAGTAAGGCTATAAATGAGACGAGACAGATCGTGAGCTACTCGAGATCGACTCGATCAAGGCTCGATAAATACTCGGATCAAATGGACTCGATCAAGGCTCGATAAATACTCGGATCAAATGGACTCGAATCGAGCTCGACCTCGACTCGAGTTCTTAACGAGCAGAAACGAGCAACTTGATATTCGACTCGAAAAGCTAGTGAGCAGTTCGAAAATATAATATATTAATATTTTTTAAATAAATTATTAATAATATTAAAATTTATGTATTGATTTTTTTAATAAAAAAATACAATAAGATTTTCATGTGTTTAATGTTCAGGTTCGAGTTCGAGGCTTCAATCGAGTTAAGTTTAAGAATTTTTTCTTCTTCATTTCGAGTCTTTTCGAGCTGCTCACGAGCTTCAGTTCAGGATTTCGAGTTCGAGTCGAGCTTGAAAATTTTAAGCTCGCGAGTTTTCGAGTCAAGTTGAGTTCCATTTCAAAGTTTTCGAGTCGAGTCGAGCTCAGTAATACTCGAGCTCGACTCGGCTCGTTTACACCCCTAGTCTACTAGGAAGTGATGCCAATGCAGCGATTTACTGGTTGGCAAGAATGCTGAAAGGAGGCAAAGAGCTCCTTTACATTTCCCGCAGAGTAATAATGTTTGCCAGTGAGTATGTTGGGTTGGCTGATCCATTAGCTCTAAACCAGGCAGTTTCCTGTTACCAAGCTTGTCATTTATACATCCAATCCTCGTATATATACATTGGACTTTTAACCACATAATTATTTATCATTCATTATTCAAAATATCTCTTATTCACATATGCACTTTCACATTGGATCTTTTCAGATAGACATTCTCAAAGATCACATTTCCATAATCATATACACATAATCATAAAGCAGAGCTTAAATAATATAATTTAATTAAAACATTGTAAAATATTACACAAAAGAAATTTAAAGGTTTTCGATCGAAAACATTGAGGTTGGCTTATCGCAAGCCTTCCTCAATTCTAATACGAAACCGAGAAGTTGCACTCACATTTGTCTCACTGAAGTTCTAACGAAATCCTTAATACTTTTGATTGAAACTTATAATGTCGAACTGACCGAAAGTTGATTTTGTTCAACAATTACACAAAACAATCGAAAATTAATATCATACTCTGAATCACTTATATCCAATCATATTAACTTAAGCTGCAAGAAACACTTGTTTTCTCATTTCATGCTTAATAGTATCGATACTACCACCACAGTATCGATACTTCCATTCAATGGTATCGATACCCCCTACGATACCGATACCAATACCATTTTGACTTTCTGGAAATTTATGTTGAAAATGGTATCGATACTCTCAACTCAGTATCGATACCCTAATCAACCAATACAGATACCACCCTTCGAATTCCAATGATTTTGCCTTGAAGTATCAGTATTATTCTTCCAGTATCGATACTCCATGCCTATAATTGCTATTTTCATTTCGAAAATCAACCAAAATCTTCCTAAATCTCTTACTTATATCCCTCATTAAGCTTTTAAACTCAACCTTAAACATCCAAATTAATTTGTCTTCATTTACTACTCTTAAACATACAAAATCCCACTAAAACTCTTATATCTAAAAATCATAACATGATTTCAACCAAGTCTTTAATCATTCCTATTACTCCTAACTCTTTAGTTTGATCACTAACAAGTCAAATTCATCACTCAAACTCCAGAAACTACACCATATCAAAAATTCATCTTATCACCCATTTTACAAATTCATTTCTAATTTACTCATCTTAAGCTTATATAACACCCAAAGAACAAAAATCAACTTAAAGATTCAAGAAATAAACAGCTAGAACTCAACTTACCTTTGAAATGGAGCTAACGGGAAGAGGAAGAAGGAGAGAAAAATATAAAGCTTCCAAATAACTCTTCTTATCCAAATACTTATGTTAAATATCTCTCCTAAAATGAATTTTTAATTCATTTCAGTCAAAAGACTTCTTTGCCCTTTAAATCTTCCATCTTTGTTAAAAAGCCCTGAATATAATTTCCAAAAATTCATCATTGAACTTTTTAACTTAATCCATTTTAACTACTAACTTTTCATTTCTTACCTTTTTGGTCATCGACCCGATGTTTGGGATGTTACAATCATAACAAACCTTTGTAACACTCGATCTAAATTAATTGAATATTAATGATAAAATAAAAAAGTAAAATTAGTGATTTTGTCATGACTCAAAAATATTATATTTCAAACATTAAATTTTAGATTCATTATAAGAAAATATAATAAATGTGATGGATAGTATCAATTTGATGTAACAAATCAATGGATAATAAAGAAAAATAAGAATGAGGTTGAATTGATTCGATTGAGGGTATTGTTATAAAAATTGATTAAATTTTAGTTCAGTCGACATTGATATTATAATAATCTAGAAATTATAGATTTGAACATATTTAAACAAATATTTGTTACTATTAATTATCAAAAAAAAATAAAAATGGTCTGATTTAAATATATTATAAAACTAATAATTAAATTATAATATGATAATATATATATAAGAATCATATATGAATACGCAAATTATCATATATTTTCTTTTTTTAGGTGACATTTATGTATTTTGTAGTTTGATTTGGTCCATTCCGTAATACGATAGTAAGTAGGTACAGATCGAAGCGAGAGTGATTAGAGTCGGTCCTAAAATTTTTAAATTAATATATATTTTAGATATATTTTTATATTTTTAATTAAAAATATATTTTCACTTCCTAAATTTTATAAATTTATAATTTTTTAAAATTTTAAAAGTTTATCCGACATGCTAAGAGTGGCCTCAAACTTATCCAAACTGGCCCGAGACATGTCCTTTTCTTTCTTCACTAGAAGTATTCATAATGGCCCATAGACCTAATTGGCCTCATTCTAATTCAATCATAAATTCATTTCATTGTATAAAATTTCGGTATCCAATGTTTTATACAGTCACTCACTTACCTTTATACATTCACTCAATTACATTATCTTCTATCAAATAGTTTAGATATAGTATAAAAAATCATTATCTATTTATATTATTTTCAAGTAATAATTAAATATATTTCATGAGTTATCAACAACCAATTGATTTAATGAAATGAAACGTTAGGTCTTTTAAGCAAAATTAATGGTTTAAATCTCACGCCTCAGATAGGTGATTATGAAAACATTAATCTCACATCTGAAATAAAAAAAAACGAAGATACTAAAATTTAAAAGTGATGATGCTAGACATCCTATCATACATATCTTTTAAAAAGAGAGTAATGATTTTGGAATTTCATATTTGGCAACGACTCGTGTTTCATGTAACAATTATATGCAATTAGTATTTAATTGATACATTAATTATAAATTTTTTAATTCTAAAATCAAGATTTAAAAATTCATAAAATACGTCAGTTATTTATATATACAAAAGTATTCATATTCAATATTTTGTATATCTTTATTTACATCACTACATACAAATAAAGCAAAAACTTGTATAGTATGCAAAAATGGTCCTGAAAATCATGGTCAATTTGGGAAAAAAAAAGAACTAGGACAATTGGCTTTAGCCTTTAAAGCACACGTGCGAGCATGTTCTAATTGTCAAAAAGTCCTATTTTCTAAAACGTAATTCCTTCCTAACTATATACACACGTGTATAGTTGGAGAGAAAAAAAAATTGGGACAATTATATATTTATACATGAAATTAATAAAATTAATTACTATTTTTAATAGTCATAAATGATTATAAAATAGTATGTGTTTAATTTTTTCTAATTTATTTTTATATATATTAATTAAGAAATTAGAGAAAACATGTGGATGCAAATTGGAGAAGCATAGTTTTCAATTGTTCAAATGTATGACAAAGTACCCACCAAAAGAGTGGGGGAAAACAATTAATACGAATTTATTTCAAAGGAAGTTTCGGTCCCCTGCTTTGACCCTTAATTTGTCACCAAAACTTAATACCATGAAAATGAACCATTTTTCTTATTTTATTTATCATATATTTGTTAGTATTATTAATAAATACGTAGATAACCTTATATATATATATAATTTAATATTTACAAAAAATATGGAAAAGTATATATGATCATATTCTATGGGAGTAAAATAATGATTTGAAAAAGAAAAAATATTTACCGTAATTGTTCACTCCATTATTCACATTCCTTGTTTTTTATATTTATTTTTTATTGTAACTTTCATTTTAAAAATATATTTATATAATTTGTTTCACGACCAATTGGTCTTATATCTAACATATGTCTTGTTACTTTATGTCGTATTATGTTTTACTTCATACATTTTATGTTATAATATGTCAAAATTAGATGGTCTCTACTTTGACTATTGCAGATTGATATAAATATATTATATCAATTAACAGTTTATAAACCGAATTTGAGTGCGACAGCTTCGGATTCTTTATGGACCAAAATATATAGATAAATTATTTTTTATCGTGTGTATTGCACTTGTATTTATATATTCATTTCTTTTATTTAATTATATATTATATTTTAAAATAATTAACATTAATATTAAAATATTATTTATTTATAAAAATATAAACATATAATGTTAAAAATACCTCTAACATCTAATTAAATAGTCACTTTAGCATCTATTTTCATTTCTAAAAAAATATTTTTAAAAATATTTTCGTAATATTTTCTATTTTCTAAGTAAATAATTTATTTTCATTTCGGATTCTTTTGGCTTCTGGAAATATTTTCTATTTTCATTTCTAAAAAAATGATTTTTCATTTTCTATTTTTTGAAAATTTTAAAAATATGTTTGGTGAATATAATTTTTATTTTCTATTTTCACATTATTTTTCTAAGTAATATGAGATAGTTATAAAATAAATTATGTTCAAATTTTTTTTATCTTATATAAAGTGATCTAAATGAATACAAAGATTCTTAATTTTTTGACAACAAAAACTTATACCGTACACATGCTCGAACCCGACGTCAAGGATTATTAAACATAAAACCGAACTAAACGGATAGACCTTAAAGTCCAAATCTTCCACAAAGAGGTATTAAATTAACACACATCAAAGTCCCTATCATCCAGCTATAGAAGACTCAAATATGTTCCACACGGCTTGCTGGTAGTCCCAAAAGCTTACCCAATTGCATATATCAACAATATAATTTCATATAAATAATCTGATTTTTAGTATATATATATATATATATATGGGACAGTTTCACAAGATTTCATATAAATAATCTGATTTTGGCATGGTGTGAAAGGTTAGCAGCTTCCTTTAGGTACTACCAAAGGGTTTAGTTTTGGTCAAAATTATTGTTAATAAAGAAAGAGATTTCAAAAGTAGGTTCAATCCCACTCTAGGGAGTAGGACATGCCCTTTCTATTCATATTATTTTTATGTATTATTATATTTAAAATATTATACATTTATAAAAAAATTAATATAATTAATAATAATTCATATTATAAAAATCATGTTACATTCCTATATTAATGTTATATTTCAATTATTTTTTTTAATTTATTTTTATCAATGTGGTCGAGTTGCATCATAGAGAGCTACTTCAACAAGGCAAAGCGACTTTAGCAATAGATTTTGCCTAACATTTATGGTCCACTTTTTAAGTATTGTGTGATTTTTATTTGGTCAAACTGTACAAAAAGGAGTTATTGTATTCATTGTTTTATGCATTTAATTATGATAAATTTTAGATTTAATTATATATATTCAATCTATTAATCGATTGATTAAGATTTAATACTGCAAAGTTTCATTATAGCAATGACCATTTTAATTTTATTTGCTCCATTCATAACGACTTTCCTTAACACCTTGAGGGATCTAAAGTCAACCTCACTAGATCATCTGATTGTCGATAATTTTTATAATTTTTTTAATAATTAATGTACATTTTGTTATTTTAACTTGTAATCTTTTAACTAAAAGTAATTGCATTTACATGCGTTCAAGCTTGAGAGCTCTTAAATATTGTAATCTCTTTAAACCTAAGCTATAATCTTCTATAAATACCCCTCCTCCTTTCTTCCACTTTGCATTGAACAAGTCTGAGCATTTTTCCCATACAAAGTAAACGATTGAAGACTTTGAGTGATCTTTTAAGCCACCAAAAAAGAATTTTCCCGAGAAAATGACCACTTTCCCGGTGATCAACTTAGAGAAGCTTAATGGTGAAGAGAGAGCTGCAGCCATGGATCAAATCAAAGATGCCTGTGAAAACTGGGGTTTTTTTGAGGTACTAGATATGGCGCCAAGTGCATATACTCTGTTTTGCACTGTCTTTTCTATTTATTTATTCGATTTTTGTGCTGGTTTTCAGGTGCTCGACCATGGGATTCCCCATGATTTTCTCGACACCGTCGAGCGATTAACGAAAGAGCATTACAAGAAATGCATGGAACAGAGGTTCAAAGAGCTCGTAGCGAGCAAGGCACTCGAAGGTCTCGAAGCCGAGGTTACAGATATGGACTGGGAAAGCACATTTTTCTTGCGCCATCTCCCTGAATCAAACATGGCTGAAATCCCAGATCTCACCGATGAATACAGGTGAAATAAATCAGGGACCAAATTGTAAACCTTTTAAACTTGATGTCCTTAACTTACAAATTTAAATAAATGCAGGGAGGTGATGAAGGAGTTTGCTGCGAAATTGGAGAAGCTAGCTGAGGAGCTGTTGGACTTGTTGTGTGAGAATCTTGGACTTGAAAAAGGGTACTTGAAGAAGGCTTTCTATGGGGCAAAGGGCCCAACCTTTGGCACCAAAGTTAGCAACTATCCGCCGTGTCCGACACCAGACAAAATCAAAGGACTCCGAGCCCATACCGATGCCGGCGGCATCATATTGCTGTTCCAAGACCCTGTGGTCGGCGGCCTTCAGCTTCTTAAAGACGGGGAGTGGGTCGATGTTCCCCCACTTCGCCACTCCATTGTTATCAATCTTGGGGATCAGCTCGAGGTAACTACTAATAATCATAAATTCTAAATCTTAAATTCCTAAATTATTCGACTATGCAGGTAATGACCAATGGGAAATACAAGAGTGTAGAGCACCGAGTGATTGCCCAAACCAACGGAGCTCGGATGTCAATAGCTTCATTCTACAATCCCGGAAACGACGCCATAATCTGTCCCGCACCGCAGCTGGTGGAGGAAGAGAAGAAACAAGTTTACCCCAAATTTGTGTTTGAGGACTACATGAAACTGTATGCAGGGTTGAAATTCCAAGCCAAAGAACCAAGATTTGAAGCCATGAAAGCCGTGGAGACTACTGCTCCCATTGCAACAGCTTAAAATAGAGTACTATAGGTGTTCGATGTTCATTTATGTTAAACTTTTCTTACCATAGCTGTGTGTTGCACTGTTAATTTATTAGTGTCAAAAGAGGTTTTATTGTATGAATAATGTTTTGTCGTTTTATGTATTAAAAAGGGTTCGCCTCACAGTTTTCTTTGGTTTTTATTGATTGTGTTGTCTGTACCTTCTTTTACAAACAATTTTGATCAATATTATATCTTCAATTGACATATAAATGAATAATTTTGTGCTAATGACGGCACAATATCTTACTATAAACGTTAAATTTTAATTTTAGATTTTACTAAGATATTGAATCGTAAATCATTAATGATATAATAAGATAGTTGTTTCTTCCTTTTTTTTTGTAATTTTTTTTTATCAATTCCTTTGGTCACCACGATTAGTTATTTGTCATTTGTCGTCCATCATTAGTCATCATTTGTCTGAATATTAATGTCGAAATGTTTGCATTCCACTCTTCTCTTCATATTGATTTTCTATGAAATACACTCAAGATTAATGAAAAATCATTTAAAAATTCTATGTTTTAATGTTTTAATCTCCTTCGATAGTTGTTCGATGAGACTGGTTTCGAGTTATGTTGTTCATCTTCTCACCATTCTAATTATCAAACAAACACCTCAAATCTCTCAAAAGATACTAGTAATTAAAAATAAATGAAGATTGAAAGATACTAGTAATTGACAATTTCCGACAATAATTAAAAATAAATTTTTTTAGCTAACCCTATTCCCATATATAATAGGATGAGGAGGAGGTAAGGTAATAGGCTGCCCCCAACGCCAGGTTGAGAGCAGCTTCCGTGGAAGACCTCCGACAGTCATAATTTATGAATTGCCCACCGTGGAACTCGATCCCACGACCACAAGATTAAGAGCCTTGTGCTCTACTAATTGAGCTGTGAAATAAAATCCTTTGATCTCGAACCTAAAAACAGTTTTCACAAAACAAAATGATAAGATGTCCTTATTCCCCACTAAAACAAAATGACAAATAATAAATTAATTTGCAAAGCGAATCCACATGAAGAAGCACATGTACACCTCCAATTCCATTTGACGAAGGTTCAATGCATTTTCTTCTCTGTTTTTGGCCAGGCGAGCTTCAAATGCAACAATTAGACGGCCAACATCTCCTACTTGTAAATTTGGATCTGAAAAATAATGTAATTGTATTATTAAAAATATGATGAATCATGAACAATTATTTTAAAATTAATGATTTGTTGATAAATTTAATGAACTTGGAATTTTCATAAATATTTGCAAACTTTTCATTTGTATTACTATACTTTTCAAGTATATAATAACACTTAATTTTGACTACTAATATATTTTAAAATTATTAATACAATATACAATTACAATTACAATTACAAAGTTAATAATTATAAAGTACAATTAAATTAATAATTATAATATGAAGAGTGACAGGTATTGTCAATGCAACATTCAGTTCACTTATCCGACATTGTAGTTACAATCAGGGTCGTGGCTAGGTTTTTGGGGGCCCTGTATAAATTCTTATAAAGGGGCCCTATTTTTTAGATATATTCGATTTCGGGGAAATAATAGTGTCGTTTCTTTTAAAAATGTCGCAATAGGTCCATCTATAGTGGTGTTTATTGGAAAAACGCCACTATATATATATGGCATTTTTTGGGCTTGCACAATAATAGTGGCGTTTTTTGAAAAAACGACACAATAAGTCTATCTATAGTGACGTTTATTGAAAAAACGCCACTACATATATATTTTTTTGGGACCCTATTTTTTGGGAACCCTGTGCGGTCGCGCAGTTCGCGCCACCCCAACCACGCCCCTGGTTACAATCGACATAAGGCATTGCAACTAAACTAATCGAAGTGGAGCAGTTGTGATGAAAACAATGTAAAATAAAGACTAAAAAAACATCTTTAATAGATCAAAACAAAGGATGGTAAATAACAACTCATATCACATTAAAAGTCAGAGATGAATCGAAGGATGTTAGTGATAATTATGTTTTTTTAAAAATTTAAATTCTTATAGGATTTAGGTATTTTTTTATACTTTATATTAATAATCAAATTTCACACTCATTCGTAATTAAAATCACTTAATACTTTTTTTAGACTAGAATAGCCTCCCCAATCAGACTTGCTTTTGATGAAGTAATATGAGGTGATTACAAGGTAATATCTAGTCATAATATTTCTTAGTCATTAACAACGCTCACACACCCTTCAAATATAACTGTTCGAATCCGAAACCTCTATGAAGAACAATATATCGTTTGATGGGTTCACATCCCTTAAAATTTTAATATAACTTCTTAAAAGTTTATACATTTAACATGAAATTATATGTTTGGCCGTAATTAAAATCACTTATTATTATTATTTTTGGATTAGAATAGCCTCCCCCAATCGCAATTGGCTTTCTTTTTGGAGGAAAGAAAAGGAAATGGAGGTGGTGGATTCTTCTTGCATGTTACATGAATAGATGTAAGTGGTGGCACCATGGACGAAATCTAGGACATGTTCAATGCATTATCCCGTCTCTTGAGAACCACACAAAGAAGATAAACAGCAATAAGTTGAGCCATGTTTTGTCTCGTTTATTGCTTAACCTTTTGACTGGATAAAGCTTCTTCTTTTGCCACCATTCATCTATAGACCACGGCTTTTCATGAAGAAAAGTGGGGCATGAGTCATGACACTCCTCAACCTCCATGTTTTTACATAATGTTAGACTGGTATTATTTTTTCCGACATTTTCGATTACGAGAACAAATATATGATGTTTTGATGATTATAAATATATTATTTATACATTACGGTTAATTTGGTTGACCAATCGATTAACGAACTTTGTTCTATTTGGTTTAAAATTTTTGAAGAAATTTCAGTTCGGTTAACGTTTAAAAGAAAAAAATCGTTTAATGAATTTTCGAAAATTCGGTTCGGTCAGTTAATTGAACCGACTGATTCAACACCCCTAGTCATAAGACATAAACACAAACCAAATTAGATAAATGGTGAAGAAGAAGCACATGTGTAGGTTTACCGCCAATTATTTGATGAAGATAGATTAAAAAGAGTATATTTAAATATTTTTTTTGAATAGTATGAGGTGATTTCAATATTAGTACTTGTTCGGAATCTTTTTTAATCATTGACAATGCATACACATCTTGCAGATACAACTGCTCAAACCTAAAACTTTAAAAAAATATATTTAAACATTTAAAACAATCAATATTTTTTCCCTTTAAAGGGGACTGATTACAAGTTTGTTGATTGTAAGTCTCATTTCAGTTGGGTAATGAGGAAATTGATGAAGTTGAGAGATGAGGTTGAGGTTTTGTTTGATGGTTTTGTTGATTGGTCGGTTGTTATTGGTAGATGAGTGTGGGAGAGGGTTCGTGATATGATAGGCAAAGTGAGTTGACACAAACTTCTTTGGTTTCCTACTAACTTCCCTAAGCATTCGAGTATCACTTGGATGGCCTTCCTGGACATATTGCCTACAAAGGATAAGCTAGTGCGGTTTGATATTGTCTCGGATGAGATTTATGGTTTGTGTGGGGAAGAGAAGGAATCAAGAGATCACTTGTTTGCATAGTGTCCTTATTCTTGTAGTGCTTGATAGGGGATCATGAGGACTTGCAACTTTCAACCAAGATATACGAGTTGAGAGTAGATTGTGTGTTGGACGGCTGAGCATTGGAGAGGTAAGTCACTTATCGTTCGTATTTTAAAGCTTGCTTGGACTAGTTTTTTTATAGTATATGGGAAGAACGTAATTTTAGACAATTTAGGGGTGTTGTTCATTCAAGTGAGATCATAGTTGAGCATATAAAAGATATAATTCGCATCAAACTAAGTAATACTTGTATAGATAAAGGTGATAATGTAAATAGGAGGCTATGTGTTGAGCGTGGGCTTTCTTAATTGAGGTAGTATTCTGGCTATTGTAGTTTTGACTATATTTTTTTAATGAAATTCTTGATTTATCTAAAGAAAAAAAATCAATATTCAATTAATAGAAGATATTGTTTCTTTGTGTTACTAACAAAAACTACTAGCCACGTAAAACATGTACAGAAATTGTTGTTGGGGGTGGGGGAATTTAAATTAAGAAATGTGTGGCGTGGGATTCAAATGCTCTCGGACAAAGCTGAAGTCGGACCCCGACCGTGTGACCCTAGCAGACGCAGCGCAACCGGGAACATGTCCTTTGGAATGTAAGGAGACGGGCTGAGGCAGGAGGGCAGCGAATTGGCCCATTGCTTCAAATAATTGAACACATCTTAGGAACACTTGATTTTATAGATTTAAATCAGGTTTGGTTGAATTCAAGTTTAAGATAAGAAAATTCAGTCTCATCTTACTTGGCATAATATTATAATTATAGCTTATATATTTGGAGATAATTATAATTATATTTTTTTCTATATATTTTTTCAATTAGATCCTCATTTATATAATAAAAATGATATATATATATATATATATATATATATATATATATATATTTAGGTCGCATCGGGTGCAGATTTTGAATTGAAACGAGTTAAATTTCAAGTTGAGTGGAATCCTCCTAAACTCGAGTTAAATCAAATACGAATAGAGAGAATTAATTTTTGAATCATATTCGAGTGAGCTAAAAAATCGAACTGATCCAACCAATGAACATCCTTACTCATAGTTCTTTTAAAAATCATAAATTATCTGAAAATGGAAATACTTAAAATGTAAATCGATCAAACTTCAACACCTACAACCATGTTTTCTCCAAATTAAATCAAATAAAAAAAATTACAAGCCCATATGGAATATGAGATTAGATCGGCTTTGTTAAAACTCGGCCCGGACCAAATCAAAACCCACACGTTTGATTGTGAGTGGAGTTGTCCTCATCTAAGCTTAGGGTTGGGGATTTTGGAATTCACTTTCTTCTACCATCTCTCTCGTCTTCACCTCTTTGTTCGGCAGCAGCGCGAAGGTATTGTTTCCTTTTTCTTATTTTGATCAATATTGATTCGTTTCTCGCTTGTTTCTGGCTTCAAGTTTCCCGTAATATTTGCTTAACTCCTAAAATTGATGCTAATTTCCCTTAAAATTTTTAACTTTTTTCAGCG